CTGCTTTTTTCTTCCCCTTTCCCTTTTCAACATCTACTGACTCCAAATATTCTACCACCAACAGTAAAAATCTTCAGGCTTCACTATTTCATTTTTGCAATCTATTTTTTAATGAGCCATTTTTAGCAGCCTATTGACAGAATATGCACAACCCAAGGAAGTAATTGCAGATCATGTTTTCTACAAAACAATTTCCTGGATCTCATTAAATGAGTAACAGGCCTGTTAAACTGAGGATCAGATGCATTTCATATCACATCAGTCAGTGAAAAGATAAATAAGAAAATGAAAACACACTTCATTAAAGAATAATGATTCTGAATTCCAAACTGAAATAAATTTGTAGGCAGGCAGTATTTAAAATAAAAGGAAAGCAAATGAAGAAACAAAAGAAAAACCACCCCTCAAAAGAAGCAGCCTTTACAGAAGGAATGAAATGTAGAGAAATACTCGCATACTGAAGTTGTTGTTTTCAAAGAAGTGCACTTCATTGTTCACATTTCTGGCACAAATGCTTTCATCATCTGCCCAGCAAGGACACCTGCACATTAAGGGAAAAGGCAGAAACATGAAATGATGCTCATCATTAGCACTCCAGGATTGTTTTTCCCCTCTATTGTGAGCCCAGTAAGTTCAAACATGATACATTTAATCTGGAAAAATGACATCTGCATAGCAAAAATATACAAGTGGACTTAGTTATTGTCGGCTCAGCTTTCCTCTGTGGTGCAAAGTGAGAGTGAATTTACAATGAACTACACAGACACTCACAGGCACAGACTCTGCCTTCAGTTAGCAGCAGGCACTGCTTTGAAAGCTAACACCACACTAACAGCTCCATTTATCTGGATCAGATTTTGAAAATTACATTTCTTTGTAAACAATTAGCATCTGGAAGGCTTATTTACCAGTTCTGCATCTTTTTCTGCACAAAAGACTTCAAGCATTTTCCAGTTTTCAGATCATGGAGCTGCAGGTTGGGCACCCCTGCTGTGCCATCCTTAGCAGCTGCAAAAAAACACAGTGGTATGTGAGGCTCAAATCTGCTTCACCCCAACACCCCACTCATGGTTCTGCATGGACATGCAACTTCTTCCCCTGAGGGAGCAAACCCACGAATGCTGATTGCTGCACCTATCAGCCTCAGTCTGTCTGCAGGAAGAACTCACATTCAGAGCTGTAGGGTTTCTGCTCCCCACTGCAAGGCTGCAACCAACACCTGCACAGCTTTTTATTGCAAACCAAAACCCCCCTCACAGCAAACAATGGAGGCATGCTCTCCACTCCAGTGTTTTGCTCTCACAGGAATGAGGTGATTTTGCCCATTCCAGCACAGTCACAGCTCTCTCTGCAAGCAAAATGGTTCTGCTGCTTCTAAGCTGTGTGTGCTCTCCTCCTTACCCTGGCTAGCACAGTGATTTACAGCAGCCCCAGAACAGCTCACAGCTTGTGCTGCCTTCTCTTATCCTACAGCCTGCCCCAGTTCCCAGTCTCCCCAGAGCCTGGCCAGCTCCCAAGGCCCAGCTCTTCCCTCCCAAGGCAGCATTTGCACTGTCTGTGGCTCTCAGAACCAGGAACTCAAACCCCCCAGGGAGGCAGAGGAGGAAATAAAGCTTTGGACATGGAGAACACTCCAGCCATGGGCCCCTGGGCAGGACACAACTCCTCCTCCCTTGCCCACCCAAGAACACAAGCTGCCTGCAGGGCACTGCACCCCTTCCCAAAGCTCAGGAAACACTGACTGACTGACAGAGTAACTGTGAGCGCTGACAGAGTGCGGCTGAGGACAGCCAGCACCAGCTGCTCTGACAACGGCATCCCTCCCTCCCCCTCTGTGCTCCCGAGTGCCCACAGAACATTCTGCACCCTTCTCCACTGCTCATCTAGCCAATACATGCACTGCAGAGGCCACAGCCGTGGGCAAAGAGCTGCACAAAGCCTCCCAGCTGGCACAAAGCCTCCCAGCTGGCACAATACTCACTTGCATAGGCCTGCCACGTTGCCAGAACATTATTCTTTGGCGAGAATTCAAGACAAACTGTCTTTGGGAGATCAAAGGAATGCAGTAACTCAGCTCTGGTGACATTAACCACATTGACCCTGGAACCAAAAGATGCTATTTCAATAAAACATGCTTACAATAGTTAATTGACATTGAGAGAATTGTTCAAGTATTTGACTCTTGTAGATCTGCTCCAAATTTGGCCAATGTAACAAAATTGGAAGAGCTTTCTCCCCCCTTTCGTTTTTACTAAATTTTTTCAAGAGCACATTTTAAAACCAGACACCCAAGCATGACAGAAACCACTGGTCAAAACACAACACATATTTTTGTCTGCAACACATAAGCTCTAAAAGTGAGAGAGAGCTCCACAATGCACCTGATATATAAAAAAGGAACCTTGTAACATTCACAAGGTGAAATATTTTCATTTCATTTCACACTCATTATTTTCTATGGACTCTGCTAATAGATTAACCTCAGAATCCAGGTACCAGGAGCCATGAATAAAAAAACAACCAAACAAAGAAAGCATATCCAGACTACATGGGAATGGATGCATCATGGGTGCACCAAGAACACAAAATACTTCACCTGATAAACTCCATTTCAAGTGTACATGCAAACACTTGCATTAACAGCAATCAGCTTTACACAGACAAGAGTAAATGAGGTATAACTGATTCCATTTATTTCATACAAGCTAAACATTAAGATAATAAAATGCACCCACTTCTGTCCATTGCACCAGGCAAAGAGGGAGCCATCCTTGCTAAATGCAACAGCTTTGCAATTTTTTCCAGAATCCCTAAAGAAATAAGAAATGTACATGAGTACCCAGCAGCATCAGAGTTAAGGTTTTCTCAACAAAAAGGAACACAAGACCTTTCCTGCTGTGCTAGGAGCCCAGTGTCACCACACAGCCCCTGCTACCCCTGCCCAGGGACTGCCACCTGGCAGGGGAGCCCAGGCAAGTGCAAAGCCATCAGTGCTCTGAACTCACTGATATGCACACAGCTTTCAGCCCCAGAGTCTACGCTCGGTTTTCAGGAAGCAGTTTCTTTGGAGCCAGGGACAGCAGTACCTTTGGAACGCCGCGCTCTCGGTGAAGCTGGGGGGCCCATTCACCATGTACAGCCCCTCGGAGCCTCTCACTGCAACAGGAAACAAACAGCTCATTTCAAACGCAGCAAAGTGCCACAGCTGAGGATTTTCTCACTTGTGAAGCCTGAGACACGCCCAGTCCTCCCCATACTGGCTATAAGGAAATTCCAAGGCACAAGGGCACACGCCCCTGGAGCTGCCATCGCTCTGCAGGGCCGTGCCCAGGGTGGGCAGCCACAGCCTCACAGCAACAAAAAGGAACACAAGACCTTTCCTGCTGTGCTAGGAGCCCAGTGTCACCACACAGCCCCTGCTACCCCTGCCCAGGGACTGCCACCTGGCAGGGGAGCCCAGGCAAGTGCAAAGCCATCAGTGCTCTGAACTCACTGATATGCACACAGCTTTCAGCCCCAGAGTCTACGCTCTGTTTTCAGGAAGCAGTTTCTTTGGAGCAGTACCTTTGGAACGCCGCGCTCTCGGTGAAGCTGGGGGGCCCATTCACCATGTACAGCCCCTCGGAGCCTCTCACTGCAACAGGAAACAAACAGCTCATTTCAAACGCAGCAAAGTGCCACAGCTGAGGATTTTCTCACTTGTGAAGCCTGAGACACGCCCAGTCCTCCCCATACTGGCTATAAGGAAATTCCAAGGCACAAGGGCACACGCCCCTGGAGCTGCCATCGCTCTGCAGGGCCGTGCCCAGGGTGGGCAGCCACAGCCTCACAGCCTCACAGCTCCTCTCGTGCCTAAATGCAATTTTACAGGGTTCATGCACACCACAGCCCCCAGAGGCCCTGAGGGAACCTTTAACACACCTTAACCCACGAGCTGCACAGCCCTGCTAGAACGTGTTCTCCAGCTCTCCCGTCACACTCCCCACCAAGATCCAAACTTACAGCAGACGGGAGTGGGCAGCCCAAAACCCACCTGAACAACTGCAGCCCCCCCAGACCCGAGCGAGGGGAAGGAAACAGGCTCGGGTTTAAAGATCACAAATACAGAAAAGGAAAACACGCATCCCTTATGCTAGGGGCAGTTTAAACAACGAGACACTGAAAGGAACACGACTTTCGAGAAGAGCTTCCCGAGCTGCAGCGCAAAGCCCGCGGAGCGCAGCGGGCACGGACAGGGCAGGGAAGGGACAGGGCAAGGGACACGGCAGGGACACGGACAGGGACACGGCAGGGACAGGGCAGGGACACGGCAGGGACAGGGCAGGGACAGGGAAGGGACACGGCAGGGACAGGGCAGGGACACGGCAGGGACATGGCAGGGATAGGACCTGGGCTTCCCGAGCTGCAGCACAAAGCCCGCGGAGCGCAGCGGGCACGGACAGGGCAGGGACAGGGCAGGGACAGGGAAGGGACAGGGCAGGGACAGGGCAGCTGCCCACGGCCGCGGGTCCCCCGCGAGTAAATCATCCGCGGCAGAAGAACGAATCCGCGGCTCGGGGCCCCGCGGGGGAGGCCGGCGGCGGGGCGGCTGCTCGGGCGGAGGCGGCACCGGGGCCTCCTCTGGGGTGCCGCTGCTCGCCCCGGCCCCGGGCCGAGCGAGCCCTGACCAGCGCCGGGGCCGGCACCGTCAGGAACTCCACGACCGGGGCCGGACTTGGCCACGCCGCGGCAGCGCACGCTGGGGACGGGACGCGCGGCGGACGCCGACGGGCGCCGGAGGAGCAGCGGAGGAGCCCCGGGCCACCCCACCCCAACTTCGCAGCCATCTGCCGCGCACCAGCCCCGGGCTCGACGCACCTGCGAGCAGCGGCGTGGGCGGCGCCATCTTGGGGCGCGGGCGGAGGGGTGTTTCCGGTTCCGGGGCGGCGGCGGCGCAGCGGCCGCAGCGCGCGCCACGTTACCGGGCGGGGCGGGGCCCGGGGCGCGCGCGCGGGCCCCGCCCCCGGCGCGCTCCCGGCGTGCGGAGCGCGCGGTGCTGACGCGGCAGCGGCCGGGCCGGACCGGGCCGAGCGCGGACATGGTGGCCAAGCAGCGCATCCGCATGGCCAACGAGAAGCACAGCAAGAACATCACCCAGCGAGGCAACGTCGCCAAGACCTCGGTGCGCGGGGCCGGGCCGGGCCGGGCGGGCACGGGCGGCGGTGGCGGGGCCGGGCCGCGCTGCGCTGACGGCCGTGCTGTGCTCGCAGAGAACGGCCCCGGAGGAGAAGGCGTCGGTCGGGCCCTGGCTGTTGGCTCTCTTCATTTTCGTGGTCTGCGGATCAGGTGAGCGGCCGCGCGCGGGCGGCCGGCCCCGGCGGTGGCTCCGGGCCGGGCACTGCCCCTCGGGGCCGTCACACTGCCCCTCGGGGCCGGGCACTGCCCCTCCGGGCCGGGCACTGTCCCTCGGGGCCGGGCACTGCCCCTCGGGGCCGAGCACTGCCCCTCGGGGCCGGGCACTGTCCCTCGGGGCCGGGCACTGTCCCTCGGGGCCGTCACACTGTCCCTCCGGGTCCCCCCGCTGTCCCTCCGGGTCCCCCCGCTGTCCCTCCGGGTCCCCCCGCTGTCCCTCCGGGCTCCGGCGGCGCTCGGGGCCCCTGAGCTCGCTGCCGGCGCTGCCCGGCGAGCGCTCCCCTCTCGCTCTCTTGCAGCCATCTTCCAGATCATCCAGAGCATCCGGATGGGCATGTGAGGGGCCGGGGTGGGCCATGCCCGCCGGCCCCGGCCGCCGCGGCTGCTGCCGAGGAGCGGCACCGGCCGTGTCGCATTCCAGGTCCCTTCACGAGTCATTCCGAGTTTTCTAGCCCGTGCCACAGTGCCTTGAACAGCACCACATGTATAAAGCAATAAAAGTCTGTTGTTGATCTACAATCGTGGACCTACTTATTCGCTGAAGATCCGGCCTGCTCTCTGTAATACGTGGGTCCGTAGGAACTGGCATCTCTTGTAAACACGTTGGCTCTCTTCATTTTCGTGGTCTGCGGATCAGGTGAGCGGCCGCGCGCGGGCGGCCGGCCCCGGCGGTGGCTCCGGGCCGGGCACTGCCCCTCGGGGCCGAGCACTGCCCCTCGGGGCCGGGCACTGTCCCTCGGGGCCGAGCACTGTCCCTCGGGGCCGGGCACTTCACCTCTGGGCTGTCACACTGTCCCCCCGCTGTCCCTTCGGGTCCCCCCGCTGTCCCTCCGGGTCCCCCCGCTGTCCCTCCGGGCTCCAGCGGCGCTCGGGGCCCCTGAGCTCGCTGCCGGCGCTGCCCGGCGAGCGCTCCCCTCTCGCTCTCTTGCAGCCATCTTCCAGATCATCCAGAGCATCCGGATGGGCATGTGAGGGGCCGGGGTGGGCCATGCCCGCCGGCCCCGGCCGCCGCGGCTGCTGCCGAGGAGCGGCACCGGCCGTGTCGCATTCCAGGTCCCTTCACGAGTCATTCCGAGTTTTCTAGCCCGTGCCACAGTGCCTTGAACAGCACCACATGTATAAAGCAATAAAAGTCTGTTGTTGATCTACAATCGTGGACCTACTTATTCGCTGAAGATCCGGCCTGCTCTCTGTAATACGTGGGTCCGTAGGAACTGGCATCTCTTGTAAACACCGGTCCCCGCTCAGCGTCTCCCTCGCTGTATAGCTGGAAATGGCTGCATTTGACGCTGGAAGCCAGGATTCCTGTAGAGGCTGGAGCCCGACTGTGCAGCATGTTCCCGAGGGCCCCGGGCCCGCCGTGCATCCTCGGTGCGTGCGCGGGCGGCCGCTGCAGCATGTGGCAGCGCCCGCGCCGCCTCTGGCTCTGTCCTGATCCACGCAAAACGCTTGTCTGTGTCGGGGGGCGTGCGGAGCTGGCAGCAGCTGCTCCGGCGGGAGCCGTGCTGGAGCTCCCTGGACTGCGGGAGCGCCGCGGCCAGACCTGCGGCTCCCGAGCCTCTCCCGGCCGTGCCCGCGCTGTAAATACTTCTTGGACGACTTTCAACGAGTGGTGATTAGTTTTAAATTTGACAATGTTGTGTGGGAATATTGGGTGTGGGGGGGGGACACGCTGCCTCCCTGCCCACAGTTCTGCTTCTGTATGTGCAGCCCCTGCAGAGTGTGGTGTGTCTTGCAATATATATTTAATCCTATTTAAAGTAAAACCTGCCTTCAACTCGATTTCTTTTAACAATGGATTCAGTACTTAACTGCTTCCCTACTGGTGATCACAGTTCCTTCTTCTGTAGACGACTGTAACTTGAGATCACGTGGAAAATGCTGCTATTGATCATATTTCCCTGCTGATGGCCCTGACTCCTGGCTCTGCTGTCTGCGTGCTGACAAAGGTGGTGGGAATTGCTCTGCTGGTGCACACAGTTGCTAAAGGAAGATTTCTTTTCTCCGGGTTTCTTAGAAGACAAATTTTAAGTCTGGTTACATTAGAAATAAAACAAAATGAAATGGGTTGAGGTTAATGAATTGCCTGTTAGCTGTGAAGGAGCAGATCTTCTGTACATGTTGTATTTCCATATGGAATCCCTGGGACTGGTGTGAGCTGGGGCTGCCCAGGGCACGGGGACCTTGTGCTGGGACACTGTGCTGTGGCAGGGGAAGTCTGTATCATCGCTGATTTTAAATAAAGTTCTTTTCAAATGCAAGCTGTGTTCACTCTGATGTGGGTAAAGCAGGGCTCTGCTGGCTGTTGAAACTCGGCCATTCACACAGGCAGGGATTAATTGGCTTTTCCCTGAGAGGAGCCTCCGTGCCCGGCTGGGTGCTGGGCCAGGCTGGGACACGGGGCCTGAGCTGGGCTGCCAAGGCTCTGGAGGCACCCAGCTACCCTGGATGCTACCACTCCCTTCCCTCTGGGGCCCGGCCATCCCCCCAGCGGGTTCAGCAGGCGCCTTCCTCTCACCTGCTGCCTCTGCTCCCCGGGAATGCCACAGCGGCCCCAGGGCTCTGGCCAGCTCCGGCTTGGCTGCAGGAGTCACGGGCTGTGCCAGCACAGCGGCTGCTCGCGGGCTGTGGGAATGGTCAGCGTGGTTTGTTCAAGTTGGTTCTTTGAAGTTCAGTAAATTCTTGTTTTGGTGCAGGCTGGCCACAGAGGTGTGCAGCGCTGTGCCCTCAATGTCACAGCTGGGCTGGCGGGGGGCATCTCCGGAGGGGCGCTCTGGCCCCAGCCGTGCTCTGGCTCCACACGTCCAAGAACAAAAGCTGCAAAACACCACACTTGTTTCTTTTCGGAACCTATCGGAGCAATACCCGTTTATTTCCCCTCGCGATGCAGCTTCTCATTTCCAGGCCCTGGCACTGACACGTTCTGACGCAGCCGTGCCACAGCCGCGCGTGGTCGGCTTCCTCAGGTGACGTCATTAACCACCTGCAACGCTTGGATCTCAGTTTTTTGTTTTTTTTTTAATTCTCCTGTGAAGCCCTCTCAGGGCTGGCTGCAGGACTGCGCACCCGGCGGGGCACACGGTTTCCCTCCCAAGGCGCCTGCAGTCCCGCCAGGCCGCCCAGCGCTCCGGAACCGCACACGGGGCGGCGGCAGCCGCGGCCCCGGCTCCGTGTCCCGCCCATCCGCACCCGCGGACAGAGCGGACCCGGCAGCCACAGCAGCCGCGTTCTCCAGGAACCGGCGCGGGGAGCGGGAACAACCCCCGCGCCAGGCGGCAGCCCGGGACACGGGGCGGCGAGGGCCCGAGCGACGGGGACCCGGTCCGAGGCAGCGGATCCTGGGCTGCGGAGGCGGCCCGGGAGCGGGAACGAGAACGGGACCGGGAACGAGAACGGGAACAGGAATGGGAACGAGAACGGGAACAGGAATGGGAATGAGAACGGGAACAGGAATGGGAACGGGAACAGGAACGGGAACGGGACCGGGCGGGGGCGGTGCGGGGACAGCCCCGCCCCGCTCCACAGCGCCGCCCCGCGGCCCCCGCAGGTCCCGCTGCGTCACGGGCGGGCCCGCCGCGGCGGGGGAAGGTCCGGGGAAGGTCCGGGGAAGGGAACAAACAAAGGGTCGGTGCCGCTCCGTGCTCACCTCACCTGGCACCTGCTCCAGAGCCGCCTCACTGCTGTGCAGCCTCTTGCCCACGCTCCCCTCTGAGCCAGGGCCGCGGCCTTGAAGCTCTCCTCAGTAAGCATTTCCTCCGCATCCTCCACTGTTTCCGTGGCTTTTCCCCGCATCTTCTGTCACGTCCGGTCTGAGACCGGGCCTAACTCGGAGCCACCTCTGCCCAGCTTCACTGCGTTCCGACGGTTCTGTGACACCGCGGCTGCAGCCGCTCCCGGGCCGTGCTGTAAAGCACACGCTGCCGTGAGCGCAGCAGCCGCATCCTCTCTGTACACCAAAGCTGCATGGAACAATGGAGCGATGTCACGGACACGCGTTAGAGCTCCCACGGCCGGCTCCCCGGGCAGACCCAGCGTGCCGGGACAGCGGCAGGCGGGACAAGGCCGGGGCACGGCAGCGCTGCCCAGCCGGGCTGGCAGCACCGGCCGCTCGCCGCCGAGGCTCTGCCAGCGGCAGCCGCACTCCACTGACACCACAGCGGTCTCACTGGGAGAACTGCTCCTTTTCCTCAGGCAGCCCCTGGAGAAGAGTCCGCAGCATTCCCAGACTCTGCCAGTTCACAGGGCTCTCCCAAGCCGAGATGCTATCCAGAGCTGAATACAGCTTATCTCTACACAAAAACTAAACACAAACCGCCAGAGCAAACCTGACAGGAGCAGAGCAAAGCAAAGGCTTTCTAAGAGGATCAGTTCAATCTTTGTTTCATCCCCTTTTTCAGATTCACTAAATGCCTCTTGGTTCCGGAGGAAGCGCCTCCGCAGCTCCCCGGTGTGAGGGATGTGCCCATCACTGCCCCACAGCTCACACACGGGAACAGGCATTCCGAGGGGAGCAGAGCTGCTCCCTGTGCTCCCAGCACAAAAACTGTGACCCCGAGGCAGGTTCACAAAGTTGTCTCTGCTCTGTTCCACTCAAAAGTGAACTGACAGGTACAGAGTATCCTCCGAGAAGTTTTAATCAACTACTCACCTGAGGGACTCTTGTTCCCAGAAATCCCCAATTTATCCTTTTTTTCTTACTTCACCAGCATCATCCTCAGTGTACAGCTGGAGAGAACCACTGATCACACTGCAGAGGAAACACACATAGCTACTGGAATACTTTGCTTTCTAATCTGTGTGCACTAAAGTCTCCCAAGCAGTGCTCTCAGCACAGGGGTGCAGCAGGCAGAAAACACCAATCCACACCTAATGGAAAGATCATTTTGGTGTTACTTTAGCAAGAACTTTTTAACAAGCACACAACACAGGGTTTGTTTGAACTGTGCTGAACTGATGCTTACCAGGAGGAGGAGATGCTTCTCGGTTTCCAGGGCACGGACGCTTCTTTGAGGCCTGCACACACCAAAACCTGCAGTTTCCAATGTTTGTTGTGTTTTACCTTAGACATAAACCTGAGCAGAGTGAGAGCTGCTGCTGAAGCAGACATTCACAGCAGTGACTCAGCAGGCCCAGATGTTTATTTAGAGCGATCAGTGCAAACCCAAACCCCTAAGGCAGCCACCGACAGCATCAGAAGATGCTTCTCCTAGAAGAGAAGAAACCAGCCTGCTGCATGAGAAGTGGTAACCCTGGCACTGGTGTGTTACTGCCTCACTGACACTGCATTTCTTCATTTTCTTCAGAAAAGAGCTACGGAATTTAATTATACTGCAACAACACCTACAGCCAAAAAATTCAACAAAACTGGTTTAATTTCAGAAAATGTGTTAAAATATATATATATATTTGTACATCAATTTGACACACTGCATTAGTTTACACAAATGATGGTCTTTTTTGAAACTGTATTTATGAAATGTACATTTTTAATTTAAATACTCAGTATACACTGCATTTAATCTGCATGTTGCATTTATTAAATACATTAAATCTGCAATGTAACAAAACGTTTTCTGCATACGAAATTCAAAACACCATTTTAAATGAACAAAAGATGGCTCACTTCATTTATTTGTTTTAACAACTAGTGCCTAGCACACTAGCTTAGCTCCACCAACACCAGCTGTTCTTTCTCTTTATTGACATTGTTCACAGACTAGTACATATTACACTAAGAGTGCTGGATAAAAACATGAGGTACGGAAGTGGTTCAAAGATTACAGGTCATGCAGATCATGCGAGACAGCAAAGAAAGTTGTGAATGAGAAAACACTAAATAAAAAATACATAAAGAATGTGCATTATAAAATAAAAAAAAAAAACAAACAAAACAACAAAACAAAAAACCAACAACCAACTCAATTATACAGCTTTGCTTCTTTGGTTACAAAGTAGGTTGAACAATTTCACAGCTTTTTATTCCCACCCAAAAAACCAAACCAAAAACGAAATGTCAAAAAGCAGAGGAATCATGGCCCCCTTCTCTCTATTAAAAAGTAGAAACAGAAATGAGCAAAGTTTTCTTCATCAAAATAGCCCATCACTTATTTATTATATCACAAGGACTGGTGACTACCTGTACAGATGCACTATGGTCTTCATACTTACACTCTATACAAAATTTACATTCAAGCTGGATCTTTACTACCGTAAATAAATACCAAAGGTCAATTGCCATTAGTGTTAGAAATATGCCAGGATTCTTTGTTCAATTATTGCCTAGACATTGTATCTATTAACGCAATCCCATCTATCATTTTACCCATACAGACGTTTATTAAAAAAAAAAATTCAAAAGTTCTGTGACATTGTTCATGTACATTATGAAAATAGCAGCCCTGTAATAAATAAAACAAATAAATGAAACTAACATAGGCAAATGTTACTTATATGAAAAGAACAGTGGCTCTGAAGAGGAATTGTTGCTCCTTACCAGACAGCAAGGCTCAAAGCAAGCCAGGAGCAGGGGGAACCTCGGAGAGCCACCCAAGCTGTGACAGAGCTCCCTCCCGGAGCCCGGGACAGGACCCGGGCTGCAGGCGAGGCGCGGGCAGGGGCCGCTCCGCCAGGGTGATTGTCTAATACTGAAAGGCCAAGCACACAACAGAAGCAGGCTGCTCGCCCTGGGGCCCAGAGCCAGCGGCGCAGGACGGGCCGGCTCACGCCGAGGAGACGTTGGGCTGCGGCGGCTGCGCCTGCGAGCTGCTGCTGGGGGCGGCCTGCTGGCTTGAGAGCTGGGATAGCTGATCGTTGTTGGAAAGGGATTTCAACAGTGCATTTTCTCGTTCAAGTAAAGAGTTTCTTTCAACTAATTCTTTTATTTGTTCCTTCAGAACTTCCACTTCTTCTCTCACTGCATACATCAAATGGCTTTTCACTAGATCCTGCAAACAACAAGTGGACAGTTGCACCACGGGAAAGAACAAGTTTCCTGCACCCCAGCCCCAGAACTTACTGTTACTGCTTGCACTGCAGTAAGCCTGGGAAAAAAGCACTCATCACCAAAAATTTATGAATAAATCAGCCCTTGAGCACAAACAGCCCAGCCCTTATGTGAAGAGGGCCTGATATGAAAAGCTTTGTCTCCAGCACTCCAGTTAGGTGGAAGCCAAGGAGAAGAATGACGCCCCAGCTGCTCAGAAGGAAAGCACCAGCTCTGATGCTGTGACCTGGGTGTGGATCCGTGGTACACAGCC